TGTACCGCCCATTGTGTGTAAACAACTACTGAAAGGAAACTATGTAAATTGGAGTTTTAGCAATATTAGACAAAAGTTGAATTCCTATCTGACCAAAAAACGCAAGTCATGTTTTAAAGCATGACCGGTATATATTATAGGCCTATGAAAATAATATATATTCTCACAAGAAAGCAAAGGGGGGAGGGGAGGGGCAGCAAATGTGTTCATATATCTCGGCCCAACATATATTGTCCTCAGTCGGGCAATATACGGAAGATGGAAACGGAAGAGCCGCACTGTGAATGGTCAAAAAATGTGAGTCAACAACCAATAGGAGACAAACGTTCACAGAGACAATGCACATACACACACACACACACACACACACTGTACCTGTCCACTATATCACTGTACCTGTCCACTATATCACTGTACCTGTCCACTATATCACTGTACCTGTCCACTATATCACTGTACCTGTCCACTATATCACTGTACCTGTCCACTATAACACTGTACCTGTATATTGATTAATTAAGCGGATTCGTTGTCTTTTGTCTTAATTATTACAAACATAAGAATCATAATTAGATTTTTTTCAAATTACGAACAAAATATTTTAATTAATCTGATTAATTGTCTTATTTGAATAACTAATTTGCTTATATAATTAGTCTCCGTGTTTTTAGTTTTATATATGTAATTAATCTCATGGAAACTATTTATTAATTGATGCCTGATTTAATTAATTGTCTATTGTGATAATTGATGCGTCTGATTACCCATTTATTAGTTAAGATAATTAAGTATTTTCTATGTTATGAGCGTAAAGATAACTTATTGGTGAAAATAATTAGATATATCCTCTGTTATTATCACCAGCACCAGAGAACCGATTTATGAAGTAATTAGTATGGCTAGTTATTGTATTTTAAAGTAATTAATGTATTACTTTACCTGTTGATTGATGATTATACAGTATATTAATTGATAGGTATTGTGGATAATTAATAGCATCAAAATACCTGTTAATTAGGAATAATAGAGTGGGTATTAGAGTCATTATGCTGACCTCAGAGTAACTTCTTATTTACAAGAGTATTTGTTTAATGTTAAAATTCAATACTTTAAAATAATCACCTACTCTTTGCTAATTATTTTTTTCAGTAATATTAGTTAATTTAGGACATACATCTAATTCCTTTCCTGTCAAGTTTGTCAATTAATTATTTTCAAGATATTATTATTAAGATTAATTTCAGATGTGGTGTGACATCATTTTTGTTTGTTAATTAAAATCACTAATTAATCGAGAACAATGACATTAATAGATTAGTGGAATTAATTATGAGGGAGTTAACATTATTTACTGGCTAATAAATTTTCATGACAGGAATATGACTAAACTGTACCCTCCCCCCCCCCAAAAAAAAAAGTTTCCCATGCGTCCATAAAGCACTAGTGACTATAGTGCTGTGTCTGTCTGTCTGTCTGTTAGTTTGTCTGCGTGTTTGTCTGTCTGTGTTTGTTAGTTTGTCATTGTTGATTAATCTGTCTGTTAATGTGTCCGTTCCGTCTGTTAATTTGTCTGTCTGTTAGGTGCTAAATGAAGGGAACGTTAAAGTATTCTCAGTGTAATTTAGGTGTAATTTTTACTGTTTGTTTTTTTCCAGTTAAATGAGTTCTTAAAAGGAAATTTAAATTTAACGCTCTTATGAGAAAACAAGTTAATGGGATACACATTTAAGTTAGGGTCTCGAGGTATAACTCTAACGCCATTTTGAGTTAATATTTTGTGTTGAAGATTAATGTGTAGTCGATGTCTTATTTTATCTTCAATTTGACAATATGGATTTTTTTAATGAATTTATCCTCGTCTTTTGGCTTTTGAAAGTCTACTAATTCTTACAGTATGTCAGAAATTACAAGGAAAATACGCTCTACTGGCCGTGTACAGTCACTCAAAAAACTATCTATACAAAATTCTATTGTACCAAAAAATATGATACGACGGGCGATGGATTTGGACAACCCGACTGAGACAACAGGAGTCGCAGTGTTCATTCTGAAATTCATCGATCCCCCGTCACCACCCCCCCTCCTCCCCCACCCCAAGTTGAGATAGTTTTTTTGAGTTATTTTGAGTGCACTGTACCTATAACCTCGACCCAAGCTCAACGTGAGGACTATTACATAAAAGTTCTTCATAGCGTCCAGCATTGTGAGACGTGATACCTACCACAGGGGGCGAGGAGGCGGAGGGAAACGTATTAGAGTTGAGGTGCAAAATGTCAAGAGATCGTGTAAGAGGTGGTACGGTGGTGGGGTTCAGATTGAAGCAAATATGAAGCTTCAGGTTCGAGGGTTCACAATGATTCAGTGAGTTGGATAAATGATTCATAGGACAAGACTCGAATTCAATAGTTAGATTATCTTCGAAATTTCACAAAGACGTAATTATGGGATTTAATTACTTGTTTTAAAATTTTATTGAGATTTGACTTCCATAATGACTCGAGGAAATGTCTCATCCTCTCTGGCGGTAACGAAATATTTTACAAATCTCTGAAATTCTGAAGCTATGGAATTACATGAGTGATCTTACCTTAACTGCAGGTGAGGAGATGAGGTGAGGGGAGGGCGGCCTTGAACAGTGAGGCACAAATTATTTAGTGTGTGACCAGAAACTCCCGGGTCTAACAGGATTTTTTTTTTTTTTTTTTTTTTTTTTTTTTTTTTTTAATGTCAACACTGCAAGATAAAATATTCGAGGACTCTGATTCTCAAAGGGTCATAGGTCAAAAAATCCATCGTAAATAAAGATAAAAAGAACGCATATATACCTGAGACACGCATATACACCTGAGACACGCATATACACCTGAAACACGCATATACACCTGAGACACGCATATACACCTGAGACACGCATATACACCTGAGACACGCATATACACCTGAGACACGCATATACACCTGAGACACGCATATATAACTCAACATGGTGTCTGGTTATGCTTAAGACTCTAACCCTAGGATATACATTACAGTGGTTGAATTCAAAAAGGTTCGCATGTTATATTTCTTTCTCAACTGGTGATGTAAAGAACGCATCTACCTGGTTAAAAATGGCCTAAAACTTGGACTGAGACTCTACCTTAACTATAGATACCGATACGTTAATTTAGCACCAGTTATATAGTAGACGAAGTTATAGTGAGAATGTGTGTGATTTAGCAGTCTGGAGCTGTAGTCTGTCTGTCTGTCTGTCTTTTAGTGTGTGTGTGTGTGTGTGTTTATCTCAGCTACCCAATATTCTCTCTCTCTCTCTCTCTCTCTCTCTCTCTCTCTCTCACACGTGTGGTTTATTTACTCTCCTTCTCCCTGTCTCTTCTCTCCAGTTTTCTTCTCCTCTGTTTTATATATTTTTTTAAATCTCATCCTTCCTATTTCTCCCTTCTTCCCTTCCCCTCTCCCTTTTGGCCTTTTTCTCTCACTCTTTCATCCTTATCCTTCCATTTGTCCCTCCTCTTACCTTATTCACCTCTCCTTCCTCTTCCCCTTCTTCCCATATACCCCTTTGCACCCTTTCCCCACTCCTCCCCTCTTCTATCTCTTCCTCTCTTATCTCCCTCTCCGTTCTCTCCTCATCCCTTCTCTCTCCTCTCCTCACTTCCCTCACCCCCCCCACACCGAGTGACCAAGATAACGAGAGCTTAGACTAATAAAACGTACGTGCGTCTTCCACTAAATTATCCAAATGAACGGATATGAAAAGTTAATAGTCGTCTCCCTTAACTTCATCTCCGCCTAATATTTACGTTTTTCCAATAAACACCTGAGTGAAAATTACAGGTAAAGTCGCCCAGGTAACGTGTGTCATGATGTAGTGTTGTGATTATGCGCTTGGGGGGGTCGCTGGGGTGGTTATGAGGGTTGTAGATTGTAAGTTGGTTATAATTAGGGTTATTAAGGAGCTATAATTGCTCTCAGGTGTCAGGGAGGATTGATGGGTAGTTTGTGTGTTGTTTTGGGGTTAATTAATCGTGGTATTGACTTGGCGTGATGAGACAACGTGACGGGACGGGTGTATGTGACTGTCCTCCTCCTTTCCCTCCTGAGTACCACCTGGCTGGGAAGGTAAATATATTAATAAATACACTAAGACCTATTTTTATTATTATTTATTTATGCTGAAACTTAATTGGTAATAATGTTATCCTGTGCAAGACTGACGTAAGGAATTGTATATGTCCAATTAGTGACCAAAAAGTAAAATTGAAGGAAATGCAAATCTCCAGTTAGTGACTTTCATAAAACTGTCTGAAGGAATTGCATTGGTTCAGTCAGTGAGCAATGAGTGAGCATAGAGTTAAGACCGGGAAAGGGATTACATTTGACAAATTACTCGCCTTCTAGGTAAAGCTCTCTGGAGGAATTGTTTTGGAGTGGTTGAGTGACCTTGTGTGATGTCGTCAGTGTAGCCAGAATATTTTAATATTTATTGATACTGTAGTGTGTGTGTGATCGAGGTAAAATGTATAGAAACTCTCTCTCTCTCTCTCTCTCTCTCTCTCTCTCTTTTTTTTTTTTCTCTCTCTCTCTCTCCTCGGTCATGGTAGCTGAAGAGAAATAACATAATATTCCTGGGGATCACCTGAAGATTAGACACCTTAGTTTATTTCACCTTGAAGATTAACCTTACCTAACCTAACCTAACCTAACCTAACCTAACCTAACCTAACCTAACCTAAACCGTCAAGTAGTGAGGTGATATGAGCTGGAGGGAGGGGGGTGGCTAATCAGGTGATGCCAAAGATGCCACAATTCCTTCTCTGTGTAACATCTCCATCACCTCCCTTCTCCTTCCTCATCCCTTTTCTCCCTATTCTCTCTACCTTCCTCTCCCCCCTTCCCTCCCTCTCCCCTACACCCTTCTCCTCTCCCCCATAAGCTGGCGCGAGGAGAGGTGTACCTTGCTAGAGGCTGAACTAATCTTTCATTTTTTTCTCCCATAGGTCACACTCGGACGTCCCCTGCTGAGGTAAGATTACTTTTACTCTGCTGGGTTCGCTGTATCTAGACTTGCTGGGACCGCTGTATCTAGACTTTGCTGGGACCGTGTATCTAGACTTGCTGGGACCGCTGTATCTAGACTTGCTGGGACCACTGTATCTAGACTTTGCTGGGACCGCTGTATCTAGACTTTGCTGGGACCGCTGTATCTAGACTTTGCTGGGACCGCTGTATCTAGACTTTGCTGGGACCGCTGTATCTAGACTTTGCTGGGACCGCTGTATCTAGACTTGCTGGGACCACTGTATCTAGACTTGCTGGGACCGCTGTATCTAGACTTTGCTGGGACCGCTGTATCTAGACTTTGCTGGGACCTCACTGTATCCTAGACTTTGCTGGGACCGCTGTATCTAGACTTTGCTGGGACCGCTGTATCTAGACTTTGCTGGGTCCGTTGCTGAGGTAAGTCTCCCTCCCATCAGTTGGTCTGGGTTCTTCTCGTACCTTGGCTGACTTCTTCCCGCAACTAATCTCGCCCAAACTGGTCTCATCTCGTCCCCAGCTAGTCTCATATCCCCATAACCCCGTCTCATCCCCAGCTGGTCTCACATCCTCTTGGTCTGGTCTCATCCTCAGCTGGTCTCATCCCCAGCTAGTCTCATCCCCAATTGGTCTCACATCCTCTTGGTCTGGTCTCATATCCCCCATAACCTCGTCTCATCCCCAGCTGGTCTCACATCCTCCTGGTCTCGTCTCGTCACCCTCTCCCCCTCCCCACCTGGCCCCATGAGCCAATCAGGTAAGCAGGTGGTGGCCGGCCGTCTCGCCTTTGAGTCCTTAAAAACGTAGGATGCAGCTGTGACCGTCTCCTTTCATAACCTTCCCGCGCGAAAAAAAATCTGGGAAATATATTGACTCGTGATAGACTCCTGGTGTGTGTGTGTGTGTGTGTGTGTGTGTGTGTGTGTGTGTGTGTGTGTGTGTGTGTGTGTTGTATATATGTGTATCTGAATGTTTATATTAATGTGTACTATATGTGTCGTTGTATCTGTGTATTCAAGTGTATATGTTTGTATGCATGTTTGTGTGTATGTCTACGCTTGTATGTGTACAGTATGTGCGGATACAGTATATGTATTTCATCAAAGTCAAACCTTTATTGGTCCACTTCAACTCCACGATGTGTGTGTGTGTGTGTGTGTGTGTGTGTGTGTGTGTGTGTGTGTGTGTGTGTGTGTGTGTGTGTGCGTGCGTGCGTGCGTGCGTGCGTGCGTGCGTGCGTGTGTGTGTGTGTGTGTGTGTGTGTGTGTGTGTAACTTCCTCTGAAGACTCACATTTAATTAGGGAATTACCAGATATTGTTAAAAAAAACCGTCTGTCTTAGTTTACTTCTCCGAGATGGGTGGGCGAATACAGGCAGTTATATGTACAGATATACTGTGTATATATATGTATATACTTGTATCTACTGTACAGAGAGGCTGGCCACTTGATCTGGGACTGAGGACTGTGAGCTTGAGAGCAGTGTTAGAGATGCTATTTAGATCTGCTAGGACTGAAGGGGTCTCTTAGGCTACTGCTCAGTGGTAGATCAGTAATGTGTGGTGTCCAGCTAACGACTGAATAGCTATACCAGGGCGGACCTACCCCGGGGCTAACTGGCAATGACGTCACGAAGGATGATACATGGGTCCAAGCTTCTAGAAGCTTCTACCAGTAGGAAGGGTTGGCATGAACACCTGAATCAATGTCAGCAGCGTTACTGAAAAAGCTGTCTGGAAATGATCTCGTGAGAGCCGTGAATCATCCTTAATTGACGTTGCAAATATCTAACTAATCTGACTAATAATTTACATCAAATACTTGGAAGTCTTACCAGTGATAATCAATGTACCTAGTTATCAAGTAAGAGCCATTAATTGAGTAAGTAATTAGCTTCAACGGTGATAACATCATATTGAGACATCTCTGGTGGACACACTGTCGCCAGACCGTGTACATGACTAAAGCAGCTGCGTCTGAGCAGGCTAAATAAATGCTTACTACATGCTTGCTATGAAAACATCTCTGACCTCTGCGGGTCAATGTAAAATGCATAATGAAAACTTATTTTTCCATCGTGTATAATACTCTGGATGCTATACTGGTTAAAGACTAAACAAGACTAAACTGCTTACATGTGTGTGTGTGTGTGTGAGATAATAATAATTAACGATTTATTGAAAGAGCATGGCAGCTGGAAGGCTGAAAATATACAGTTACATAATTGGGGAATGGTTCACTTGATTGACAAATAGTATACAAGTAATATAAGTGATACAAATATGATATATAATAACTAGGTGGGGAAAAGGTTATTTCTACAGGGCATTTCAACATAGTGACAGTGCAAAAAGGTAAGATTGAATGGGAGTGAATACACTGGTTGATTACGAGATGTTGATAATTTTTACAATGGTTGGGACTAGCGATCAGTACGTGCTCGTATGGGCTGGATGCGGTTGTGATGTCGAACAGCAATTCGCGGACGAGGGATCTCTGGTGGAAGTAGGTGCCTGTGTCGAGGATGGTGCAGAAGCTTCTCATCAAATTTGCAGATGAGGTTGTGGTGATGATCAGAGAGAACTGAGATGGTCTTCTTGATATGTAGAGTAGGAGGGGGAGAGAATAATCTTGCCTGCCCTCTTCAGTATTTTTTCTAGGTGTTTCCGTTGCGTGGCATTTAGGGAGGAAGACCAGGCAGTTGAGGCATAGGTGAGCTCATGAAGTATGAATGTTGAGTAAACAATGAGGAGCTCGGGCGCCGGAACTCCGAGGGACTTGAGTCGGCGGAGGAGATGGAGACGGAAACTGGAGGATTTGACAATTGTACTGACTGTGTGTGTGTGTGTGTGTGTGTGTGTGTGTGTGTGTCAGGTGATGCTCACACACTACACTTTATAAGATATATTATTTACTGTTAGAAAATTGATTATTATAAGCTGTTATAATTTAATGATAATAAAAATAGTGATATTTATAATGATAGTAATATTCACAAACAAACATACAGAGCAACTCAAATGTTACCTCGGGGTGTTAAGTTTGGTTAGGTTAGGTTAGGTTAGGTTGCTAAATGTTATGTTCGATATGGCTAGGCCGGGTTAGGTTAGGTTAGATATTATGTTAGATTAGGTTGAGTTAGATCGTATTAGTTATATGTTAGTCGAGTTAGATTAGCCTAGTTTAGCGTTTTAGAATGACGAATCATTAGGTGAACTAAACTAGGGTGTGTAATCCTCAGGTGATGGCTAATAACGGGCCGCCCACATCACCATTATCTATTATTACTGGACACAAACACAAAGCTCTCTGGATGACCCGTTCACTTATACCATAGTGAATAATGGATGCCGAAAGCTTTCATTGAAGGTAGAATTATTAATGTTGATGCTGTGACGCTGGGATTAGATGGGATTATCCGGCTACGTCCTGACAAACCTCGGTAAATCCCTCGCTGGTAACTGACTGACTGACTGACACACCAAATGATCTGATTTTCTCGTTTCGAATTTGGGCCTCGATGTTTATTTTTTTTTATTTATTTGTATTTGATTTGTGTATTTTGTTTATATATATATTTTTTTGATAATTTTAAATTTATATTTGTATAAATTTCATCAAAATATCAATTACGTTATTTTTTTTACCTACTTTTTGTGTTTCTTTTAAATAATTCGTTTTAATTATCCAGTTAATTTGTAAAAAAAAATATTATTTTTAATTACATTCTTGTTAATTCTCATTTTTTTTATCAAATTAATTAAATGTATTATTTTCCTTTTTAATTTTTTTTTAACTTTTATTAACTCAATTTTAATGATCATTCACTAGTTATTTTTTACCTGAATATGATGTGTCTGTCGTTTATTTTTCCATTTTGTTCTATTGAAATGTAATATTTATTTTATATGTAAATCTGTTAATAGGGTTGGGTCTTTAAGTCTTAGGGGGCGGGTTGGGTCTTGAAGTCTTAGGGGGCGGGTTGGGTCTTTAAGTCTTAGGGGGCGGGTTGGGTCTTGAAGTCTTAGGGGGCAGGTAATTTAGGTATTAGAGGAGCGGGTTTTTTTAGTACTATACTTTATAATATCTCTAAGTATACACCGGGACTAATCGTATGGACTCGAGGGGGGTTAGGTTAGGTTAGGCTAAGTTGTTAGGTTTGGTTAGGTTGTTAGATTAGGTTAGGTTAAGTGAAGTGATATTTATAATGATAATACAGCTTTAATTTAATATCTGAAATTCATTCAAAATCTGTACGGTGCATTGGAGAACGTCAATTTAGGCTGGAAACTTTAGAATCCGCTTAGGGAGAAGATATAATGTAATGGGCCCTTGTCTCATCAACAGAACATATTATATAAATGGGTCAATACATCTGATATTATATTCAGATTCACCCTCTGTAACTTTCCACTGGCTATGAGGTGACATGTTCAGTGCACGTGATAAGGTGTGCCCACGGGAAGCTGCGTCATACTATGCTGAGTAAAGGCATAAGGTAGCCGGCTCTCTGGCCACCTGAAGCGAGCAGTAGTTTGATATCCTTGACTAGAGGAAGACGTTATTTGAGAGCCGCAGTGGATGGCTCCGTCTTCCCTCGAGGGGGAACGACGTACCCATACCGTTCTCCCACGATGGGTCACTACTCATGAGTCGCTCACAGCAACTTATATCGTAAGGACGTGACCAAACGTTTATCAATACATAAACGCCGTCCCTTTCTCATTCACTCCTAGACAGTGAGACTTACGGTCGATCTACACTCAGGAAATATATATATACAACCCTTTTATAATAAAACAAGGAACTACCGTTTGGGTTTCGTTACTTAAACCCAAATAATAAATATATGTGAACGGCCTGGTTAATTGCACAAGCAGCGGATTCAATAATAGGAATAATAATGATGATGATGATGATGATGATTATAATAGGAATAATAATGATGATGATAATAATAATAATAAGGATGATCATGATGAAACA